CGGGAGGGGGCATGGGGGGGCTGCGGGGCGGGGGTGGGGGGCAGGGGTGCCCGGGGATTGGGGGGTCTGTGGCTCGGGGGTCGCAAAGGGGGCTCAAGGGAAGGGGCTGTGGGGGAAATGGGGGGTGGGGGCTGTGTAGGTTGGGGGGGCTGTGGGGGTGAATGGTGCTGGTCGCACCCCAGGCCCCTGTGATCCGATTTTAGGGTTCCCCCCCACCCCTCACGACCCCGTTTCGAGGGCTCCCCCCACCCATCCCAGACCCCTTTTTTGGGGTTTTCCCCTGACCCCTTTTAGTGCCCCCCAGCCCCCATTTGTGGGATGTTGCCCCCCAGCCCTCATCATCCGCCTTTTCGGGGCGCCCCTCCCAGCCCCCCGAGCCTGTTTTCGGGGTGCGACCCCCGGCCCTTTCCCCCCAGGCGGAGGATCCGGAGCGGGGCCGGCCGTGCCGGGCGTGCCGAGAGCTCTGTCCCGGCTTCCAGGAGCACCCATGGAGGTGAGGCCAGGACGGGCATTTTGGGGTGTTCCCGAGCCCCCCCCGGGGCTGCGAGGGGGATTTGGGGGTGTCCCCCGTCTCCAGAGCGCCGTGTCCCCCCAGGAAGATCTGCCAGCACTGCAAGTGCCCGCGGGGGGAGCACGTCGGAGGGGGGGTCCCCCCGGCCCTGCAGAGGGTCCTGTCCCGGCTGCTCCCCGACTCTCACCCCGCGCCCGGCTCCGAGGATTCGGGGTGCTCGGCCGAGGAGTTCGCCTGGGCCCCCCCCGGCCTCAGCCCTGACCAGGTGAGCCCCCACTGCCCTGAACAGGCCCCAACCTCCCCTGGGACCCCCCCGCAGAGCCCCAACCCCTGAGGGCCCCCCCAAACCCCCAGCTGAAGCTGTCCCACAGAGCTGGGAGACCCCCAGGACCCCCCAAAACCCCTCCCGGGGGTACCTTTGACCCCCCCATAGAGCCCTGATCCCCAAAGGGCCCCCCCAAACTCGGGTACCCCAGTCCCACACAGGCCCCGCCCACCCCATGGATGCCATAAGCCCCGCCCTTCCAGACACACCCACTTTAGCCCCACCCCTTCCCCTGCAGGTGACTTCGTGCTCCTCCCACCTGCCCCATCCCACCCTGCTCGTCATGCCACACCCTGCTAGGCCCCGCCCACCAAGCCACACCCTTCTGAAACCACACCCATGTTAAACGAGTCCCACCCCTTGTGCCACACCCTTCTAAGCCCTGCCCTACACCCCACACCCACTGTGCCCCACCCATCGAGCCACGCCCCGCGTGCCCCGCCCTGCTAAGCCCCTCCCCCAGGTGTCGCAGTACTGTCACACCTGCCCTGGTGAGGCCACGCCCCACGTGCCCCGCCCTGCTAAGCCCCTCCCCCAGGTGTCGCAGTACTGTCACACCTGCCCTGGTGAGGCCACGCCCCGCGTGCCCCGCCCTGCTAAGCCCCTCCCCCAGGTGTCGCAGTACTTCGCGGCGCTGCCGCCTGCGCTGGTGCCGCGGCTGCGCAGCCCCGGGGAGCGGCAGCGGCTGCGGGAGCTGCTCCGGCAGCTGCCCCCGCACGACCTGGAGGTGAGGGGGCCTGGGGGGCCGGGGGGTCTTCACGGAGCGCGCCCCTGGAGCATCCCGAGCTGTTTTCCGCCCCTTTTTTGGGTTTTTTTAAGGCAGTTTTGGGGAGTTTTCGGGGGGCACAATGAGCGTGGGGGTGTGATTTGGGGTGCTTTGGGGCAATTGAGTTATTTCGGGGTTATTTTGAGGTTTTTGGCTTGTTTTGGGGTGTTTCTCGGTTGTTTGAGTGTGGTTTTGAGCTGTTTCGGTGTTTCTAGGTAGATTTGAGGTATTATTGGGGTGATTCGGGGGATTTTTGGGGTGGTTTGAAGTGTTTCCACCCCTTCCCAGCCACAGTTTTGCCACGACCTGGACGAGGTCGAACGTCGGGAATTGAAACTTTTTGCCCAACGCCGGAAACGGGAAAATTTGGGCCAAGGGAGCGTCCGACCCCTTCCCCTCACCAGCGCCGGGGCCGTCTGCCAGCAGGTGGGGGCACCCCAAAAACCGGCAGCCCAAAAATGGGGAGGCAAAGGGTTTGGGAGGGCTGGGAATAACGATGGGGGAACCCAAAAATACGGGAGAGAACCCCGAAAGTATTGGGGGAGAAACCCAAAAAATGAGTGGGGAGCCCCAAAGAGTTTGGGGCGGGAATACAAAAAGAGGAGCGGGGACCTGGAGATTTTGGGGGGACCCCAAAACCAGGGAGGGGAAATGTTAAAATGGAGATGAAGAATGCCCAGAATAGAGGAGACCAAAAAAAAGTCAGGTGGGACCCCAAAATGGGTGGAGAAACTCCAGAAATGGGAGTGGGAAGCCCCCAGAAAGGGGGGGTGGGGACCAAAATATTGGGGGGGAACGCCCAAAACCAGGGAAGGGCAGCGTAAAAATCGGGATGAGGGATCGCAGAACCGGGGTGGGAGCCTCTGAATGGGGGGGTTGTGCCCCCAAACGCTCGGGGTGCCCCCCTGAGCCCCCCGTTTCTCCCGCAGTGCGGGGGCCCGGTGCGGGGAGGGGCGCTGGCGGTGTTCGCGGCGCGGGCGGGGCTGGGGCTGTGCTGGCACCCCCAGTGCTTCCAGTGCCACCAGTGCCAGCAGCCGCTGGTGGACCTCGTCTACTTCTGCCCCGGGGGGGCCGGGGGGCGGCTGCTCTGCGGGAGGCACCACGGGGACTCGCTGCGGCACCGCTGCCCCGGCTGCGACGAGGTGGGGGGCACCGCCAGGGGGGCTGGGGGGGCGGGGGGTGGTTATGGGGCAGGGGGGGGGG